ACACTTTGAACTGGTAAACCAGCATATTTCATTAACATCTATCGTGCTAGCGGTATTGAAACCTACAAGATCTAATATTCGGGAATCCTGAAATTCATAACGTTAACTCGAAGGGTCTGATACACGTTTAACTGCGAGATGTTTCTCTGTCAGAAGAATCATATCTATCTGCTGCCACACAGTAGGCTATAGCATGCCTATAATCGCATTTATTCTGAGAATGGAACTTCAACTTAAACCCGAGAGGTAGTTTCTCAATAGTTCAGTATCTATAGATGCTACTTTGGATGTCTTCATCCTCAGATACAGGGCTACGGTCTATTCAGAGTTTTAATTAGGTCTCATCAGAAGTTGCGTCTCCATCTCTTCACATGACGAGCGTTGTCTGTAGTACAAGTTTCTTCACATTATTACGTAAGCCACTAAGCTTCAAATTAGATGCTCAGCACGTTGATATATTTGGTTCTTAGACTTTAACGACGCTTTCAAGAACATAAGTTAAACAGAATAGAATAAATAGATCTAAGAGACAAACTAGGGATGTAAACATGGAAAAGAATCTTGGAGGATAATTTCTTGATTCGTTGGTTACGTATCAAATTTTAAAGTAATGCCCTGCAACTTATCGTTATTTAAAGTTGTTTTGCGAAAGTAAAATACCGCTAATGTTTAAGTAAGGAAAGACTTTGTCATTTGTACGAAAACAACGTAATTCATTATACGACGACTGAAGTCTTTAAACAGAATAATGTTTCGTATTTAGAATATTTACCAGTTTCACAATGCTAGTGTGATTGCGTACGGACTTCTATTCACTACTGCAGAATGTAATCAAGGATTATATTCACCGTGCTATATTAATTCTCATAGTACTAGATATTCAAATCAGTCCGTTCTATGAAGATTGTTAGGAACGGCCATTTTGCGATACAGCTCTCTAATCCCTTGTACAATAGTGGATTGGCTCAAGTGGATGCCAGTTTTAATCCATTTTCAACATTATTTAAGCGCCTAGTGTCGTCTTTGTGTCTGTCGTCCAGTCACTAGAAAGCGGTTTTTTTTTTGGGGGGGGGGGATTTTCGTTTGAAAATCAGTAAAAATGCTAGCTAGCACATGCCGGAAATGGTATGGACAAAAGTGTTGGTGAAAACGTTCGCTGTACGTTAAGAGGGGTAGAGTCTGCTTCATTTTATGTTGAACGATAAAACAGCTTGAAACGTTATGCACCCAATAAAGCCATTTTTCAGAATTACAATCCTTGAAAACTCTACTGCTGTCCGTGCTATCCTTCCCATTCCTGTAGTTTTATGAATCGTAAATAGAACATTCTGGAAAGGTTCAGGTAAGGACGGCAGATTCCCGCAGTACGTGATGTAGATTCTCAGCGAAAATGCCTCAGTTGACATGGCAACTCCATTCCTTATACGACTCACTTGTGTGAAATAAAGGCCCACTAAGGGCATACTATTATGACAGCCTAATACGATACACTGACGCCTTCATGCCTGGCAGGTTCATCCATTTTAGAGGACAATCAGTCAAGTCGACCCAGGTTTCGTCTCAAAGTACCTTTGCTGAGGTGAGTATTTAGATTAATATTAGCAAGGTTAGTCACTGATAAGCGTTCTATGTACGTGTATCAAATAGCGGCACGAGAGAAAGGCAACGTCTGTCCATCCGTCAGCGTGTTTCGTCTCCGAAACTAAACTGAAACGAATTTCGATTATTTGGTATTGATGATCTGCATAATCATTTATCGAATTAATTTTACTTTGGTTTGTTCAATTGGACGTAGCTCTTAGTTTACATAAAGACCAAGGGGTGTATAAAATATTGGTTGATACCTTGAATCGAAGAACTCAGGGGAAGAATAATTTATGAATATCTAGTGTGATGTGTGATCAGCTTTACAATAGATTTTATCTGTAACAAAGGAACAACAAGACCAATGCGATATGCAGATCCCTAAGAAGGAATTTGGAAAACATTTTTGTTTTCAGTATAAGTGAGCTATGTTTACACACCTGTTATTTTCCACCATTGACCTCTGAATAAAATATATTTAATTGGTTAGTAATTTTGTACGTATAACTACAAGATAAATAAATGTATAGGCTTAAAAATGTTAAGTGAACATCTTCGTGGAAAGAGAACACACCAAAGAACGAAAAAGGGTTTGGAAGGTATTATTAAAATACCTCTTGGCAGATTGAGGAGTAGATGGAAAGATAATTTCAAAACTAATTCTAGAGAAAATGGTTGTAAGAGTGTGGATCGGATCCATCTGACTCATGACATCGTCCGGTAGCGTGTTATTGTGAACACTGTATGGATCGTAGGGCCCCGTAAAAGGCAAAGGGATTTGTTGATCAGCTTCTGGGTATACGAGCCACGGCCGCCATGCCCATGTTATTAATGGTAAGTAATTAAAAACTTGGAATAGCCTTTCTGATGTTCGTGAGAGTCCGCTAATATTTTCAAAAGTTGTGCCTATTTTTCATAGTTTGAGACGGAAAATGGGATAAAAGATCCTTTTTTCCGAAAAAAGGAAACCAACAAACTTTCTCGAATGTTTTTTTTTATTTCTGCGTTTTCTGTTTCCCAGACGAACTTCGATAATTTGCAAATGTTTTCTTTCGTGCATATTTCTTACTTCCTTCTTATGCCTGTGTCCGGCAGTTGTTCAAAGTCCAAACTAATATAGCACAAACGACATTTCGTATTTCTGATTTTGGGTTTAGTGCAAGATATCTGAACCAGGAAGTGCTTTGTGTGTAGCTCTCAGGACAAAGTGTTTGGGGAGGTTTCTAATCTCAAAGAATCTGTATTGTGAATGGCTGTCTCGGACTTTGTAAATGAAGCTTCTAATATTTTCAGAACCCACCTAATTCTTTCGCTCTTCACAAGTCTTTATTAATTTAACAAGAAAATCTTTATTACACCTTTCCATCCAGGAAGCTGGAGAAAGTTAATTAATGAAGAGCTTAATAATTTAAACTCTTTTACAAACATTAGGACAATTAAACAAGGAAAAGTAGATGAACAGCACATGCAGCATTCAAAGGGGAAATAAACGATTACGAAGTCGCAATTGAAGAAGCTTATATTCAGAACAATGTTTAAATGGGAGGAATACATTACAATGTATTTTTAAGAAACAGAATGTGAACGCATGTGGTGTGAAACTAGCACGGGATAAAGTAAACTGACGATCTCCTTAAACGCTGTTATAAAGCTTGAGGTTCAACAAAGCAAGAAATTTCGTAACCAGCTGAGAAATTTTAACTTGTGAAGGAAGGTCATATTAGATACGTCGCCAGCCATTTATCTAATGCTTGCACACTTTCGCTCTACGAAGAACGCTAATTTCTGAAGACTGAAATATTTACCTTTGTTCCTATACGTAAGTATAACAACTTTTACCTTATTTCATTTCAGCAAAGCTCATGGAGAACCCTGTAGTCCACTCCACACATTATATTCAGTTGTATTATTCGGTAGTACATTTTTATATATCTTGTAATAAGCACTTATTAGGGTACGGAAGAAAGTTAATGCACTACAGCAATGTCCGCTTTACTTACCGACAACGTCTTGAAGCGTGGCCGATTCGCTGCAGCTGATGAAATGAGGGTAGAAGGCCACCATCATGAGACCACCGTTCTCAGCCTGCACAGATTCCAAATAGCAGAAATAGATTTCGTTTACGTGGTACAGGCTGCAGTCATCTTAAGGGGCTTGGGGGATTGTGACCATTTTAAATCCATGTCAATCACACTCGTCGCCTGTCTGCTGATTCTGCCAAGGTCGGCTCCTTCTCTCACTTACCGTGCAGATAAAGCCCTTCAGATTGAAGACTTCTAACAGGTGATCCCAAAGAACGGAAAATATATGTGAAGTGGTATTTACAGTAACTGAATTTAATTCGTTTATAATCATGCGTCAATAGTAATTAACGCAGGAACAGTTAGAAAGATTAGTATCCATAATTAATCTAATTACATCAGATTTTATTATTCCATCATTAAACTCAGTTCAAACGAGGCAGGTCCTTCTGATCACACACAAATAATGCAATATCAAAGGTACGAAAATAAATATAAAAATACAATGTGTATAATTATTCTTCAGGGCTCTATCCTTCGTCCAAATGATTTTATTTATTGAACCATAACATTTCGGGAAGTGGTCTTATTTCCGTTTTCAGGTGTCCGAAGAAAATTATTCTTTTAGGGCCCTTAGAAGGGCCAGATAGTCTCAACTTTGGACATCTAGCTGGCGACATGAAGGCGGAAATATAGACTATTTCCGAAATGACGTTTTAGACTTGTATTTGAGAAATATATAATTTGAATCTCGGCCGAGACACCGGGTATGGATCATGAAACATGTTACAACTTCCACCTTTTATATCCTTATCTACCAACTGTCGCAATATTTATCATATTTTATTCCACCTGATAATACAAGCACATTCCGTGACCATAAGCTAATATCTACAGAGTGGGCGAGTGGGTTTCTACACAGATACACTTTTGTAGTATATCGAATTCGAGTAAAGATAAAGCTAACGTAACACAGCATTAGTGGCAATGTAGTTTAGATTACTTCTCGTTCAAATTACTGTCGAACATGGGACCTTATTCCAATATGTATTGTTCAGCCATGGCTTCCATCAAGGGATGATTGTATCAATTAATTTTCGTTAACTGGATTCAATTTAATTTAATTTAAATACCTAGTAATGTTTCAAAATCCTTCTCATGTCTTAACATGTATTTCGTATTATGCGACCAAAGGCACTCAAATTACATTAATGAACTTAAATAACACATATGACGGAAGACGTAACAAATTATAATGTCTGACTGGGTCGACTGATAAACTACACAAAGTTGCAGCGTGATGACTCAGCTTCTGCGTAAAATAATTATACCCCGAAGAAGCTTGCAGCTACATCACTGCATGGTCACAACTCCGAAGCTTACAATGTCAAAGCACGTTCCTGTCTTAGAACGACGAATGGAACAAAACCTACATTTCTTACGGTTAAAATCTTTTTTTAAGTTAAGGAAAGAAATTAGGAAAGAAATCCCGTGCATGGCCCGAATTTCTTGGGGAAGTGTAAATTGTAACACTTACCAATAATCTGAGGACGTGGTCAGGCACATTACGGGAACTGTTGCAAAGCGCATGCGCAGAGGAATGAGAGAAGATAACGGGGGCCCGACTCATCCGCAGAGCATCTAGCATTGTTGGTACTGACACGTGGGACAGATCCACCATCATGCCCAGTCGATTCATCTCCCGTACCACTAGCTGCAAGCAATCAGCAAGGAACTTATCACGACTCAGTCCCACACCGCAAACAGCATATTCTCTTACACAAACACTAACTCACAAAGGAAAAGCAGGTGGACTGATAGGACTTTGGTACAGTAACGAACGTATAGTACATCCAATAAAATTCAACTAACTACGTTGCATGAGTTGGTAGACTGCATGAATATACGACGAAGTCTATATTTTCAGCTAGTCGAGGAATTACCAGTTTTCCAGAAACGGGAACTTTTATTATTTTGTTCACAGTGTCCGCCATTGCACCACATTCGAAGGCAGTTTAATATAGTCTACGCATTTAAACCCTACGTCTCTATAGAAATTCTATTTCTTTCTGCCTTCCCTAGTGATTTTCCGATAATTTTTTTTTATACTTTTCTCTCAATTTCCCCCATGTGTGCTACATATTCAGTAGTATCTTCCGTGATTTAATTGTTTAACACTATTACAAGAATGTTGAAAAGTATGGGGCTCTACACTGTACAATTTCCTCTACTTCTTTGTTTCGTCACCTGTATCAGCTTTAAACATCTCGTGTGGAACTTATAAGGACTACGTAAAAACTTCCTTTATACACTAGAATTCATACGATTGACTTAATTATTACTGTCATTATATTTAAATTGTTACAATCGTTCGAAATTTAAAATTGTATAAACGAAGAGCATTATTAATACACACATGTTAATCCTAACGGGGCACGGATTAAAATTTTAAATGATAAATAATACAAAATCTAATTACTTATGAAGAATTGAAATCTAGCGACGAATGTGAATTATGGTAGATGACATGGAAATTAAATTCGGAGACTTACTGGCTCAATTAATTAGCAGACGCCAGCAACGTGTCGTTTGCATCATATATAACTGGCATGTCTGTGGTTGATTTCAACTGTAACAGGCGAAATCTGTTCTAATGATTCTCATTCACAGAAACTGCCAACTATACAGTAAATTATACAGGGACTAGTTATTATTTTACACTTCCCAATAGCGCATAAGTGTTTGAAGGACTGTTTGTTAAAATCCCTTAAGAGACATAATTTAAACCTATCCTATTTCTTGGTAGGTTATCTGAATTATAACATTGTAAATATAAGTTATTATATGTGTAATGTTTTACCACGAGAATACTATAGAACACTTGCTTAACTTTTCCCCCCTTATATGAGGCCCACTTTGAATATGTTCGATACCAAACTTTCGATCCTACAGAACTAAATTCACTGAACGTGTCTACGCAAGTATCTAGGTCCTTAGAGTATTATACGACATGCAGTTATAGAACAGGGGTGGACACTATGCCGAAAAGAGGGACATCTTTAAAAAAAACATCATTACAAACTTCAATATTCAACTGATCTGCTAGCCCTTTCTACTCGTTCTGCCAGTTTCTATATTGTTGAGGGTTATATTTCTTAGAAAAGCATTTTGTTTCTTCTCTCCTCCCTAAGACATAGGTTTCTGTGATACTTCTAGCCGAACGTCTTGACATTCAGTAATCGTCGAGGCATACTCTAGAACAGTGGTATTCAACCTTTTTTGTTCGCGTACCCCCAGATTTCTCTTAAACTTTGTACCCCCAAAGTTGTTGATGTATAATTCGTTATACATAGTATATAATCTACATCTAAAATAAATTAAATAAATTACATTACTGATTACTCAGTGTTTATCATAAAATAATATATATATTTTTTTTTAAAATTTTACTTACCTCCTAAGACGTTGAATACCACTGCTCTAGAATCCCAGTGAAGAGAATCGTTTCGAAATAAATAAAAGACGCAGATTTCAAAAAACTATGTACCGTTGTATTTGCAAATGAAAAATGAGATCTTGTTGGTCCAGTGGTATAGTTTTCTGTGACACCAATAAAGCATACTTTCTCTTCTCCTTGCCACAAAATGTTCTCTTTCTCCTTCATTTTTATTATACCTACGAGTTGTACTGGTGCACATGTGAACCCGCTGGGTCACTAATGGATTTACTGTATGTAGCGAGGTTTTACATCACTCGAAGTCCCTAGGGTGACGACGATCTTGAGGAACATTATTCTTCTTGCCCCACACACAAAGAAAGTCTTTCAGTGGATGGCGCTGTACAAATATCTCACATCCAGCAGATTAATGTAGCAGTAACACTTTAGAGATGCATTCGGGACGTACCAGGGTCGTATCTCAGCAATTGTGAATGACTTGTTGGTATACGATTTGAAGCTTTCGCGGCGACTAAAATCAATGTCGGGCCACAACTTTGTGTGCAGTTTGAACTACATTTGAGTTGATATGGACTACTTATCAGAAAAGCGAGTGCAGTACAGTTTATTTTACAAAAGAACTGTGACATGCGAAGATATTATATTTAAATACGGAGTCAGCTGATTGCTTCATGTGACAGTAGTTTAATCTTTGTTACGCTTTATCCACTATGGCAGATGATATTATGCAACGAATCTGTAACTACACCAGCAAAGGTGACATGGGTGATGCAATGAGGACAATGGGGAAGTCTACTGATTCGGAAAACACTATTTGTTCTGGATGAATGAAAAACCCGTCACCCATGCAGGAACCTAATTCGAAACCTATCACAGATTAGGTGCCTTAAATGTCACTGGACTATCAGTTCATAATCATCAGTCCATTCTTATTCAAGCATTTTTAATAGATGACTTTAATAATGATTCTACAAAAGTTGAGAACACAATGAGATTTACAGACAATTAGCACAGTTTCGCAGCATGTCACAACCAGGCCCGGTTTCTTATATGCATTGATGAAAACTAACGCAAAAAGTTTCGAAAACAGGCGTGCGCATCCAGACAGCGGGCATTTTGGAAAACGAGAATTCTTACAAAGACTTAATGGCAAGGAAACCTTCGATCTTGGGTATTATAAATTAATTAAAACTGGAACTTTAGCTGTAGTCTTCATTCCTTTTAGTCTTGTATGAGGTTACAAACGTTTCGTAGGAACGTAATTCCTCCATCTACAGGGTATGTTTTTCCTAAACTTGGTAATATCCTACAAAATGATTGATCGTATTGATCCAAAATAATTGCTGATTTGTATTAAGCTTAAATATGAGAATAAAATTTATTGGCAAAGACGATCAGAACAAAATCGGGCAAAAAGTAAAGAATATATCTGGTTAATTTCTAAATCTTTAATATAATTTTTTCGACAAGTTGTATATATAACGAAATAGAAATAAAAATAACATATGGCTAATTTTAATTTGTCGTAAAAACAAGTAAGTGTAACAAATTACACATTACACAAAGCTTATATCTAATTAAAGGTTAGAACTTTAAATTAAATATATGTCGATAAACTATATATAAACAAAACTAGTAAATGATTATACAGTATACGTGTGTTGTTGATCAGATTTGTAACACTAAATGAACATCACGTCAATGAAGTATGAAAAATAGCGTATAATGCATTCGAAATATATTCAAATTAGATTTTTACATTTCCACTCTTTTATAGAACAGAAAGAACATATTTATAACAAATAACATATCAGTTTTGAACGCACTACTGCACTGGATTTAATTAGATAACGGTAAATTTAAAAAAGGCGCTTTTCATTCCACGCGAGTTTAGACTGGCAGTGGTGGGGGGTTCTACCTAAATGAGACAGATGACCAACTCTTTGCTAGGTACATTTGTACACAAGTTCAATTAAATTTGGCGGAGATCGCCTTCAATTATTACAGATATAATGAATGTCACACGTGCCGATCTCTGTAATATAAACTGTGTCATGTGATACATTGAAACATGATAGGATGGATTAATTTTCCGAGGAGAGGCGCTGCTAATCAATACTGAACAAATGACGCGTAATTTACGTGAAAGATTGCCATGTACATCAGTGGAACTACGAGACAGAAATCCAAGTTGTGAAAGAAAATTTGATGCAATTACAATTATTGGATGAATTATATTTCAGCTTTTAAAGAACATCGTTTGTGAGGAATCTGAGTGTTGTAATTTCTATGCATCAAATTATAGGGCTTTAAATGTGCCAGTTGAAAAATTAACATCCTAAAACTGAGCGTAGTTTACTATCTGCTACGTAGAATGTAAAATTACATTTTTTTTGGAACGTAATGCAACAATTTTTGCCCGAAATATGCTAAAATTGTTACACAATAAATACTGTATATTCCTACGAAATCCAAGACAATGTTCACACTAATATCACAACCTAAATTCCTTTAAAGCAATGTGAAATGTTCCCATTTCCTAAACTAACTTTCATTGATAAAACGGACAATAGTCATAACACGTTCTGAATACCATAAGATGAGTACACATTATTCACGCTAATAGAACAGTACGTTTGTGTGATAACATAGAAGCTGAATAGCATGGGCGTGATTCAACTGCCACAAATGCATCGTATCAGCTGTTCTGTGGTAACGAGACAATTGATTTGCAGTTGACATGGCCCTACTCCTCTCCTCGCAGCCCCTTTACTGACAGTACAGACGTTTGGCTCCACAATCTCCTACACTCAGTAGCTTCACCAGATAAACGTGTTCGAACACTTTGTTTCTAACAGTATGTCGTTCAATTTCCTCACAGACCATTGAATTGAATGCACAAGCTACGTTACAAATCACACAGGAAGTTGGTCTAACGGTAATGTTTTGCATTTGTGTAGGCAAGGCACGATGTTCGTAACTTGGTCGGCCTTACAGGTTGTCGTCGTGTTCCTGTCTCCAAGAGAAAAGTGGAATAAAACAGGTCACCTCCCTCCAAAACATTAACTGCTAACCTTAAATTAGACCACGACCATTTCCTTCCACATACTTTCCAATTCACTATCATCCTCTCATTCAACTCTATTTAGTATGAGATACTGAAATAGCGTCGTTAAATAAACCACAAAATAGAAACCAATCATGTTTATTATGCCGTCTCATTCAACATTATACGATCTCTGCAGTGAAAAGAGTGA